CAGACAGACGCTTCCGTCGTTCCCGACTCTCTCCCCGCTCGCGCGGAGCTGGGTTGGTTTTCCCGCGCTGGCGGGGCCGGGTGACGTTACCGCTCGGGCGCGTTGCCCCGTCCCCGCTGGACGCCGAGTGCCTGGCTGCCGAGCCCTGCTTGGCTACGAGAGCAGGGGAAGGAAGCTGTGGCACCCAAAACTGACCTCAGCCCACCCCGACAGCCCCGGCTCCCCCCCCGCGTCCGGCTGCAGCCTCTCACCCGCCGTGCGACGGGTGTGCTGGAGCAGGAATTCAGTTCAAACTGATCACCAGGCTGTTTTCCTGCTTTCAAGCGCAGGACAGGAAGTCACCAATCTGGGCGATGGTTTATTTAAAAGCTCTTCTCCTTTCTGTTCCTGCCAGCAGCCCGTGCAGTAGTTGCAAACCCTGCCCTGGCACTGCCGGGCTGGTGGGCATATGTGAGACCAGCGCCGTGCGATTGAATCAGCACAGAATTCTACTAAAATGACCAATTTACCTTTTGCTTACCGCATCATTGCCGAGGCCATGCAAAGGCATGATCGTTGGCGATACTGGAGAACACGATTGTTTGCTGGGGGTTGATGGGCAGGACTAGACAGAGCTTTGCCTCCAGTTTGGGTTCGGATCTGAGGTTCCTGAACTCGTCTGTGCTGGGCAGTGCCCTTACCGAGAGGTGCTGTTAATGCAGAGAGCTGCCGTGCACAAGCGCTTGAACATCTGGTTTGTGTTGTGACAGTCCTGGAGCTGTCTCTTGCCAAAAGTGGATTCAAAAGGTGGGCTTGTGCCCCTAAGAACAAAGACTGGCTTCGAAATCAGCTTCCTGAGAACTGGTTTAAGTTGGATTCTTTTCGTTTTACTGCAAAAGGCCAGTGTTAGTATAAGCATCACAAATTTAGGCTAAAAATGAGAGAACGGTCTCTTTCCAATTTGGGAAAGGAGGGACAAGCTTGTCCCTTGATTTTTCTTCCTCTCATCTCATTCAGAAGACCAGGTGGCGGAGGAGACGGAGGAGGTGTTTCGGAGCTACGCTTTCTACCGCTACCAGCAGGAGATTGAAGAGAGAGGGGAGGAAGTGACCATGGACCCAGAGATCATGGACATCCAGCAGGATCTGGAAAGGTAAAACTCTCATACCATCCATATGCACATCCCCCAGCCCCATCCCGAGCCAGGCTCCATCACAGACCCACCCCTCAGTCCTGCTTACTGGTCTTGCTGGGAAGGCAGACCCATCCATAATGCCATCTTCCCTCTGGGCAGCACTGGGAGCCTGGTGGGAAGGCGCCTGGCCATCATCGGTGACGACATTAACGAGCGGTACGATGCAGAGTTTCGCTACATGCTGAAATCCTTGCAGCCCACCAGGGAGAACGTCCGTGAGTACTTCACCAGAATAGCCTCCAGGTAAGGCCTCCGGCTCCCTCGGTGTGGGCAGGACACCTTCTCCTGGAGGACACCAGGGAAGGAAAGGTCAATGAGGGTGCAATGCAGTTGGCTAAGCCCTTACCCCCACCCTGGAGCAGCTGCCTCCCCGGCCCTGCCCCGGCACACAGACCCTGTCCGTTCAAGCTTCACCCACTGTCCCTGGGTTGAGGTCCCAGCAAGCTCATCGTGACGGTTCCTGTGCTTTCTGCCTGTCTGCTCTTGCTCCTGCATACTGTCTGGACACTCTTCATGTGACAATCATCTCCAAGTCCTTGCACAAGCTGACCAGGGTCAGAAAGTTTGGGGGACGTGCCTGGGAAGGGTGGCCTGTACATTAGTAGCCAAGCGAACGTCCCAGGTCCCATTCAGGGGGACGACCAGCCCTGGACCAAAGCAGACCTGCTGCTGGTCCCACTGCTGCTTGCTTGGTAGCTGGGAAGTCCCGACGGGTCGGGCTTTCCAGGGGCACAAAGCAAATGGAGCTGCAGGCTGCGGGGATGGGCAGGTACTCGCTGCCCTTGGCGTGGTCCGTGTGGAACAGGGTCGGACTAATTCAGGATGCGGGATGCTCTGGAGACCCGCAGCATCCCGTGCAGGTGATGCACACCCAGCTCTCCCACTCAGAGCACAGCAGGAGTGAAGGCAAACACCTCGGACATCTTACTGCCGTGACTGCCTGAGCCACAGGCTTGGATCGCAGTGGCCATCGAGGGGTTCAGTCCTCACCCCTCTCTCTCTGTAGGGAACCTGAGCCGCTACAAGCGTGAAATGATTTGCCCAGGCTCATGCAGAAGAGCTCTCCAGAGCCAGGAGAGCAGCTGGGGTCTGTGGGTTCCCAGGTTGCGGGCTCCCATCGCTCCTCCGAGCGCCCCCGGCTCCGGCGCAGCCCTGTCCCCGCTCGGTGTTTGTTGTCTAACCGCTCTCTTCTGTCCTTTTCCTGCTCCCCTGTCCTCGGGAAGCCGTGCCGCGCTGTTTTCACCGCTTTGCCAGCCTGAGGCGGTTAACGCACCGCAAACAGGTAAATTAACCTCTGTCCCTCTCTCCCTGCTGCCTGTTTCGCTCCTCTTCCTTCCCTCTCCCTCCGCGACCTGCACGGGGGCAGCTCCCAACCGAGGCTCTGCGGAGAAGATGATTCCCTTTGATCGTGCAGACCTCCAGGAACAGGGCACAAGATTAAAACACAGGGCCTGAGTGTATTTTTTTTTTTTTTTCCCCTTTTTCCCTCCTTGCTTGCCTTGCTGGAAACCGGGAAAAACACCTGCAAAAACTGGCCTAGATAAATGAGTGCCAAACCTGCCCATAGCGATGCAGTTTGTGTCCACAGCAACCAAAACGTGGATTAGGAGCAGCAGGGCATCGGCTAGGCACGTTTTGGAGTCCTGCCAGCCCTTGGGAGTGTCTGTCTAAGGCAAGATCAGATCAGGTTTTGAACTTGGAGGGGTTTGTCTATGCAGGAAAAGGGAAAATCCTGTTCTAACATGCTTTGTCCTTAGATATATTTAAAACTTCCTTACCTCCAGGCATGAGGAAGGGATGCTTTGGGACAGGTGGGTGGTAATTTCTGCTCCTGGCTCCATGTGTAGCAGCTACTGAGCTTGCTGCAGCCTGTGTACAGCCCGACGGCTTAAAGCACCACTGGTTCCAGCTTACCCTGTTTGATGGCTTTGCCCATGAAGACGCAGGACCTGCAGGCAGCTGGTGCACCCTGCGTTCGGGTGGAGACCTGAGGGGAAGGCAGGAAGGTGGCAGGTCACCAACAGCCACCCCCAAAGCTTCCCCTCTGGCAATTCTGAGCCTGTAGCTGTGCAGACCGGATTTGGAAACTCCCTTTTCCCTGGCACATCCCTAACCCACACGGCTGAAGCAAACAGCAGTTGTGACCAAGACGGCGTTTGTTCTGCTCCAAAAGCACACCTGGTTGTGGGTGGCCATGTGTCACCTAACCACCAAAACGACTACGTTGCCCGTGCAGCTGGGATGCACCTCAAGGACAGCGCAACATCCTCAGCCCTGCTCGAGTGCCCGTGGCCTGGGCAGTGCA